CATATTTCTATTGTGGGTATTATGAACAGGTTCCGATGATGATATATAGGCAGTGATACTATGGTTGTCTCTATCAGGATGCATACAATTAAGGCCTTGGTAACTGATCCATGCAGAATAATGCATGTTAAGATGTGATTTACATTTAATTGTGGGTGTTTTATTTCGATCCTGGTTTGATAGAAGTATATATGGAACATTAAAACACCTGCCCAATGTATGCCTAGAATGTCGTTTTACCGTCCGTCATGACTTAATCGTGTTTCGAACCGTCCATAGACTACATATAATCTTCAGTCATCGGAGGAAATAGAGAATGTATGTATGTATGTATGTATGTATGTATGTATGTATGTATGTATGTATGTATGTATGTATGTATGTATGTATGTATGTATGTATGTATGTATGTATGTATGTATGTATGTATGTATGTATGTATGTATGTATGTATGTATGTATGTATGTATGTATTCAGTGCGCTTTAGGAGAGAATTTGAGTTTGCCGGAGTTGGTCGGAATGGTGTTATGTCACTTTTAGCGGAAGACATGTACCCTGACCTTCATAAGTACCCTCGTATCCAGTTGCATATTAATGAATAGCAGTCAACATCCTTAGACCCCTTAGGCTAACCTTAGATCTCTGTATGTATACACATAATTTTTCAATGACACAATAATGTTGACATTGGCGGTCCCTACATCGTGCATATACCATTGCAGTAGACGGAAAACGTCTATTCTATTCGAACATTTAATATACATAGTCTGATTTTCGAACCGAATATATTGTCGTCAGCAAACGTAATAACAGCCCAACAATCACATGTTGTCCATTTCGATAAAGGTTAATATCATAATGTATTAATAATATTTCTACACAACGAATACTGGGCGTGATGTGAACATCTAAATGACGTTTTTAAACACTAGATTTTTATTCAGCTACGATTTAGACAATCAGACATAGATCTGAATACTTCATATTATCGTTCTACATAATTTGGTTACGTGTTTAGTATTAACTTACAATATAAAATAATCAATGCCGCCAGATCTATGTGCCAGGGTTCATCCAAGGCAGAACTTCTGCAAACGACTATAGAGTTACACTTACAGCAATATGAAAAATACTATGCACAACTGTGAGTTAATACTAATGTGCTCAGTGTGTTCTGTCAGTTCGATATATACAAAACCTTTATAAACTTTCAAGTCATAACCTTTTTTAGTCTCATTCAACACCTTCATGAAAAGAACAATAAATATACACATAAATGTTAATATTTAGATCATTACAGTAATACACCTTGCAAGTTTATTAGTTAATCTGAACATTACTTTATTGGATGCCATGTTGCTACTGACATATTGTACCAGCATCCAGATGATGGTTTAATTAGAAAGCCGAAAAGCGAAACTGGTTATAAACGTACACACAAAAGCAACGCCAAAAGTGAATAAACACAATCAACCAGCGTGTCTTTGGGTACAGTCGCTTCTAAAAGCAAAACATCAGTAACAGGTGGTTTATCATAGCAGTATTCAAAACATATACGGTACTGACATGAAGCTTGCAAAAACAAATTTTGATTATGTAAACCAAGCAGAGGTTTTTTTCAATTACTGTATGCTAAAGAACCTCAGATGGAGTTATTCTAGGCTTATTGTTAATGGGGCATTTCAAATGATGCGAGAAAAGCATATGTCAGATGTTTCAAAGAAAAGTTTGTGCTGGATATATATTCATTGATATAGGGTCACGATTGAGGTACTTTCAATTAATAAAAACATATCATCACTGAATGGTAATTATACTCGTCTAGCATTTCAAACCATTATTTCATGTATCCTTTACACTGCCTTACAAATAGTGCGATACTGTGCATACGTTGCAGTTACTGTGACAAGAAAAACATACTGACACAAGGTCGAGAGGCAAATGACGGAAAGAGGAGAGAGAGAGAGAGAGAGAGAGAGAGAGAGAGAGAGAGAGAGAGAGAGAGAGAGAGAGAGAGACGGAGAGTGGGGGTCACATAAAGACATATATAGACATGTACACGCACTCTCGAGCTCTCTCTAAGGGATAGAGAGAAAGTCATGTTGGATAAAAGTATTGGCATTGCAACATAAATCAACGGTCATACAAGGGAAAAATGAAGACATCGTTAATGAAGATATCTATTGTAATTCCTCTATTGTCGCAATTAATGTTGTTGGGGATCACAAGAAAAGTAGCAGATTACAGGAGGATAAACGGAGCCAAAATATTTTTTTCTGAACAAACGTCACAGTTCGGCAAAAACATAGAAATAGCAATATTCAATTTGCAATTAGCGTTATAAAATCGTAGAATCAGAGGCAAGGTTGTTGTAATAACAACCAAAATAGAAATATTGCTGACTGTCAGGAATTTCAAAACTCAACATGATATCCTTTTGGAAATAAATACATAATCAGAGAATTGTCTAGATTGTCTGCCGAAACAGTTTATGGTGAAAATTATATAAATGGATAACTGAAAATTAGAAAAGACTGTCATTGTTTGCATAGTTTTAAGTATTATCTCACATTGAGACACAGCCTTTAAGATAAGGAAACTGGTTACATCTTATAGTTTCAGAAACAGAGTACGTTATGTGTGAGCATTCTGTAATGCGACGGTGGGGACTCGGGGAGTCCAGATAAATGGATTTTAGACTTTAATTAGCTGATGAATTAATTACATCTTTGAATTAATTAACACAACGTGAAAGTTATGACACACCAGTGGTTCAGCTTCTCACATATGTGTTACACTTATAATATATAATTACAGGCTCGCACGGTGTTTTATCATTGCTCCTTATGCGTGCAGTAATTGTCTTCTCTAGCCTATGAATCCACATATGCTGATCAGTAATCATGTTTTCTTATCAAAGTGGCCTGCATCACACATACAAACCAGTGTTTGTGTATAATGTCAGTGTTACATAAATTAATTTGCCTAGATAATGTATGTTGTAGAGGGATTTTTCGAGTGAATGGTTTTCACATATGGATCTTTTTTTATTTCATTTCTCTTTTTGTAACTCTTTTTCAACTTTTTTTAAAACGTTTCAACTAGGTTCATATAAAATTAATTAAATTAGCATAAATATGATTTATCGCCGAAGAGTGTTCCAAATGGGCATGTTTGACGAATTTCATGCATTTTGTTATCAGTTATTTGTTTGCTGACGCTACACTAATGATGTATAATTTGAGATATTATACATGTCATATATCTGGAAATAAATAGTACTCCGAAACTGATATTATCTTGATTTCCTTAGCCTCTGTTTTCGCAGAGAGAACATGACTACACAAACTTCTTAAAATGGAGTAGTAAAATTCATATTTTGCTTTTGGCTTTAGGTATTAGGGCTTTATACTAATACCAAAATCCTATCTCTGGTTCCCTGTGGGTAGAACGAATGCAAACACTGTTGGTGGAACACACTTTGCCCTATGGAAAGGCATTCGGTCTGATGTGCTAAAAATCACCCTATCAATGTCAACTTTGAAAATCTGATTAAAGAAGCCAAATCGAGTCTATCACGCAGTGACACTACGGTAGACACTACCTTGTTTGCTTTTGGTATATCATTGAACAGGTTTCGTGCCATCCGTATGAAGTGAGTCGGGTAAAGCAACCGTGGACAAACACAGGGAGCACCTTGTGCCTACTACACTCAAAGAAGAAAGGTCTTTCTTGGTTTCTTGTCCCTCTCCAGTTTCAAGCTAAAGGTAGGCTTTTTGTTTGCATTAAATTGACTTACTTTGTTGTCGATATATAAGACATTGTTCTTTGGCTCGTTTTCGCTCCCCAGCATGGGCGCATGTTGTTATCCTTTTGCTTTAATTCTTCCCAGCTACTTTATACTATATTACAACATGGTAAGCTTTCCCTTCGTACATGTTTGTACAATATATTTACCTTTCTTTAATATATTGAAACCATCAAATGTGTTTTTTGAAAATTGTGAAAATAAAATAAATAACAGAAATATTGTCATGTTTTTGCTGTTAATTCGAAAATTTATGTTAAGTGTAAACAGACAGTTGATTTGCTGACTAAATGTTAGATATTCGACATGATGTGACATTCTAGCTGATTATGAGTTAAAGGTACATTTCTAATGAAAAAGGTAAGATAAAGGAAATAAATACTTAATAACAAACAAGATTGTAATATCTCGTTTTCAGGTGATTTTTATTGAAATGTGTTGCTCTCAAAACAACATATTGCTCATTAAATTATGTATACAGGTGTCTCGGTATTGACTCGCCTAACGTATAATTTCCTAATTTCCTTCAACAAAGAAAACTGAAAAAATGATAGACTTGCTTGATTCGAGTTGTCAAAAGATAAACTTTAGTAGAAAAATATTAACATCGCTATGTTTGCAATATTCTTTCTCAGAAATTAATAAAGTTTATCAAATCAATCGAGCGCAATCACAACAAGTATATTTCTTAAACAAGAAAAGGTATGTGAAAGAAGAAATCGCAGATGAAAAAAGGTTTTGTCATTGAAACATTTTTTCAGAACAACGTTGATGTGGATTAATAATTAAGACCTGAGAGTATATAGTCTAACATATCATTTAATCACCATATTTGTCTTCACGGTGGTTTCCTGGGCTGAGTCCACTCGATGAGTAATCACTCCCCAACTGCTAATGTCCAGCCCGGTGGTCGACAAGGACCTGTCATATTACCACGGCTATTATCACCTAACACACTGAGATCTCCGTTTGTGAAGTAATTGTGTCTAGTTATCTGGGTGGGGAAAGCTTTTGACGAATTCCAATACAAGTGACATTATTCTCCATACACACCGACTAAACAGCTAAGTCCCTGCCTCCAAAACGCCTGTGCTTTATCCGTGCGCTTCAAGCATGCCATCCATTGTTGCAGGGAGCCAATCGCGAGGGGGCTGGCTTGTCAACGCAGGAGTATGTAATCATACAGTTTGACTTGTCGCCACCAGACGAGGCCAAGTGAGAGAAGCGCCAAATGGTGCTTGTTCGTCTCGCGCTCCTACTGCTCTGTGATTGGCTGGCATAGAGCTCGGGTCAAAGTGGGATTTATCTGTTCTGCGACAACTTCAACACGGAGTAGACTACGCCAAGTGATAGCACAGGAGAGTGGATTAAGATGAATCGACCCTCGGGAACTTCCAGTAAGTGTTTGGTGTATATATGTAGATAACAAGTCTTTTCTTAACACGCGTTATACAGACACTCGACGAGGATCACTTCCGTCTTTGTAACATTGTGTAATTGTAGTGATTTGTTACTACCGATCAAAATGTTTATTTTCTCCCGTGAGTATCCAAAACAATAACATGCTCTAAAGAGCGAATAGGGATTTTTTATGAAGTTGGAGAGAAATCACTAATGTCTAAATATATATCAGTGATGTCTTTAATCAAAGTTCAACCTTTTGTTGAAATAGTGTTGTTAGAAATTAATGTTATCAATATTGTTACTCGTTTGGATACATGTTCATATAGAAAATTTATTTCTATCCTTCTATTACTAATAAAACTTCTAATTATATAAAAACAGCATAAATACATCCAGTTGACACTTGAATAGAATATCATTTGAAATTACGACATAATTAAATTTACCAACCCACCATAAAGAGTGTTAGCTTGTTCAAGTTCATATCAGGGTGGATAGCACATTGTGTGTATAAGTGATTAAGTTCTGAAGGCAACACATTATGTCTCTAGTTATGTATTCCAGCCTGTATTTACGATATTGACTGTTGAAGATTCCTAGGTCGATGACAACTACATGACACAACCCTTATCTCAACCTTGTCAGCTTATTTATGCTACAGAACAAATCTCGTAGCTGTAGTCTTAAAAATGACTTCTGAATAATATATAGAAGCAATTATTGACTCGCGGTTATTTGGTAAATGCACGAAGAGCAAATTTCCGTTGATGTATAGGACGAGTTGACTTGTAACCGGGTGTCTCTGGGTGGGACGTGGACTGAGAGACGCTACACTGGTGAAAAGACGTGATAAATTAAGAGACTATCCCACACAGTGGTACTTGTACTATAGCAATCCTTAAGTGTTTTTAATCACGATATTGTTGGGGTAAATTAAAGTGTGATAAATTCCACGTCACTGGCCTACATGCAGACGCTGAGAATTAAATCTGGGAATACTGTTTCATTATATATGTATGTTTAAATTTCATGCACCTAGTAAACCTGTGCAAAATTGAATTTTAGAAATGTATATGGTGGCAGTTTGAACACAGCTGTCAAGTACTGAACATTGTTAGGTGTTAAATGCAAGCATAAATTTTGATTATTCAAAACTAATGTCTTTGAGCATGTTATATTTTGAAATACAGTTGCACCCCTTATGGAACATTTATCTGTAGAATGAAAAATAATTCCAGCCAAAATACAACGCATTTGATTTTTCTATTCTAAGAATTTCTCACTCTTCGGTTACAATGATACTGTTGTATTAGTATTCTCTATTGACACATAAGGCCCCTTATGTCCTTGAACCGTATACTCATTTAATGCAATATATCTGTAAATCCACATGAAAAATATTTTAACCTTCTGGAATAAAAAAAATTCAGACAGCGGTATTTCTATGAATGGTCTAAAATCTTCCATATTTCTAATATAAAGTCTGGTAAAACAATGTTTTAAATGATTGTTTGTGCAACTTTTTTTAATCAATTTAAAAACAAAATTGGTAAAATGAATAGGTAAAATAATTAAGTGCAGATGGTAATATAAACATAAACATTCGATGGTTGAAAACACAGAACAAAACTACAAATATTATTGTATAATAACTATTTTGATATTCCATGAATGCAAATGTGTTTTCAAAATATCGGGAACGTGTCCATTGCACTTTGGATAATTTGAATTCGATAATGACAGGATATGTATAATTGTGTTGTAATCAATCAAGTTACATTTGTTTTTAAAACAAAACAAAAACGTTACACCTTTCGTTATTATCACATCACACATTTTAATTTATTACATTACACTTTTCAAAAGTCCTCTTTTTCAATCCATCAGTTCAAGCAGTTGCTGCTGGTATATAAGAAAAACTTTTGCAGTTTCGTTTCACACTATGATTCTCTTAGAACAGGAAATACCATAACCTCAAGTTAATCGCGTTTAGCCTTGTGGGTGATCCTTGTGAAACGGAGTGACCGACAATAAAGTCCTCTGGTTTAATCTGGACGGGCACTTGGGTCCAAATCCTTCACTACAAGTGTTCCAAAGCTTTTGATACAAGTGCCAAATGGTGTGGGATCATCTTCAGCGCCGTGGTCAGACGGTCTCTATCAGAAGCTTCCTTGATCTCCCTGTCAAACAGACCCTAACTTTACTTGTTCGAGTTCGCCCTCCTTATCCTTCCAATGTTTGAATGTTCTTTACGAGAAAAACATTGTTCATCCCTAATAGGCCCTGAATGCCAGATAGAAAGCATCTTCCCTACACTTGTCGCGGTATGAGATGCGGATTCTGTAAACTGACTCGAGATATGACAAGGATAAACACATTCGAAGGCGCTAGGGACTGTGTCTTATACTTAAGCATACAGTTGACGTTGCAGCAGGTTCACGATAGAGGCTGCAGGCGGACCTTAAACCCTGGACGGATTTTCTAGCATTAACCAAAGCATACCAAGCAAACATCAAGTCAGATTCGGACTGTGGATCAAATTGAAATTCATGGCAATTTTTTTCCAGCAGAAGCATTTTGAATATGAAACTCACCTTTCAGCAAACTAGGAAAATCACATTCTGAAGCTAAATGATATAGGTTAAATGTCACGTGGGTGGTTTTGCCTGTGTCATAGTGGTGTACTTAGAAATTCGTATACTCACGAATCAAATTTTCAAAAAGGATATTTGAACGACTACTTGATCATCTGTACAATATATTTCAGTCAATTTTTGTATATAGCATATTATCTGTCACGTGTGAATATGCCTTAATACTATGTTGTTATTAAACTGCTTACTCAGATATGCAAATCAACAGAATACCACTTCTTTACTATTTATGCATACTTTGTTATGACAAAAATATAACCAGAAGTGATGTATAATAATTTTCAAACATAATCTCCCTTATGAATATCATGTAAACAGAATATATAGTGCATAACATAAATCAGAAACACGATCATGTTAACAGATTGGTGAAATTATTCTTTTCAGAAATATTTAATTTATTCCTTGAAATAAATAAACAATTGAAATAAGCATAAACTATACCTTTTTTATACCTGTGTGTTATCATATTGCACGATTTCAACGCTGTGATTAATTGTCCGTCGAGTTAAAAAATATGACTAAATGGCGTGAGCAAGATAGGCATAAAAACGAAATGCCCGTATCGTGTACAATATAGCAAAACAGGGTGGCTGGTAGATTACGGGATTATCCCAGCACTTGAGCTCGCTATTGATTGTTAAGTGTCACCGTGTTGCTTGGACTTACTTAATCATTTCAACATTCATCTAATCTCGTAATCAAGTCACGCGGCCTTCAGAATACACTCTCTCAATTGATTCCATTGCGAGTTAATTTCACAAGACTCCTCACACGGCGAAACTTTTAATGACACAAGTTTATTGTATGAATAAAAGTTTATAAGGCAATGCTTTGACATACCGCGTTACTTCCTTACTTCGGGGTAGCGTCACGTGTTCCTCAGATTAGCGCGGATTATCCGATAAAGGATGAGGTATTACCGAAGGATATTGCACATGCACGCGTGTGGTATTGCTAGCTATATTGCCCGATACTATCTACGTGACGACTAGTTTCATAAAACTCTGCCCAAACCTCCTCATTAAAAAGTTAATAAAATATTTTTATGGAAAGCACTATACAGCGGATATTAAATAGCATCGTTATGTATCGGGGTTACCGAGAGGTGTCAGGTGTATGTTCAGCAAATGATCCGCTGAATCATTCTTAAACTATTCATCTCAAATAAACGCGTAGTTTACACAGATATTATCAGTGTAACAAAGACTGTTCTTAAATGTTTTCGATTTTTGTATAAAGTCGCTGAATCTTTTTTAGTTTCGATAGTTTCAAATAAATGTGGGAATATGTAAAGTTTATGTTTGAGGTAACAATGATTATTTGCTATGAATTTATTTCACTGACACCCAAATTTAAACGCACTCTCTGTGTGTATATTGTAGATCACTGTATATAAGGAACAGGGTCGGAAGTGCACAATGGTCTCCGCTTCTAAGAGATATTTCACATAAATATGGAAAGGGTTTTGTCGCTTTTATTTGACATTTCATGGACCATTTTAATCAAGTACATTCGAAAAAGAAATTCATTTTTACCTGCTAAATTACAATATAAAACAATTATGTTGGAGTGAATAGGTGTTATTTCAGTTACCACAAAGCCATAATAACATTTCGCCAATATGAGATATGCCTGAACGCATTCTGATTTTGTCTCGTGCATCAGTCGATTACACGTAACAGAAGACAAAATAGCATACTTTTGAATGAACATAGTGACATGCCCCGGCCACATCTTCCTCTGTTGTAGCATCTCGACATTACTGCAACCACATTCATGTTGTTTTTTTAATGAACATCAGCTTCGGTTTTTAAATTATTGCACAGTTACAATCCGTCAATAATAATTATTTTTGCTCAATCGTCTGAAAATTGGTTCGTTTTTGAACATTTTTCGATAGATATACAGAAGCTCAAGCATTAATATATTTTTGTATTATTTCAAATCTCTACACGAAATCTCTCTCTCTGGGAGCAGATAATGATTGCCTTCTAGCGCGTTATTGTGTATGCACTGTTTATATTTGCTGTAATTTCTAAACTATGGACGGTCGCTACTCTGTTCTAATCGTTTTCACTGTACAACTTTTCACTTTCGTTTACCAATATAACAAACTGTTCAATTATCCCCATAACAAGATGACGGAGCATGCGGGGACATAATGGCTATAATATTGACATTCCTAGCTAAATGAAACGAAGTCGGAACCCGTGTTTGCTGTATTCATTTGCATGGCTAAAACTTTCATTATAATCTTCATCATACTCCCTTTATGACTAAGTCATTCTGCTTTTGCCGTGTACCGTTTTAACAAAGGGTAGAGAGATACTGTTCTGGGCAGTCTGGCTATAAATGATTCCTCTACAATAATCATTTGTGTGTTTAAGATATCAATGGACGCAGTACTATCTCATATCTGCCAATCTTCACCATTTTTTTCCCATCACGAAAGACAAGTCGGAGAGATAATTGCTACCGTTGGGTGTGAATGAGCTCGGTGTGTTTGTCTGAATATTGATTTTTAATTGGAAGCCTGTTGACTTGGATGCGACAAGTTAACATTCGAATCTGCCTGATGGTTCGCAAAGAACGGCCTTCTTTGATTTAGTTGTTTGTACATTAGCGTACCATGCGGCGAGCACAATGCTCCTTTTATTACGAATCGGATGCTCACGACTCTCCCGGCGATTGTTCTAGACAGTCAATATGCAGACACTGTTGGGAAATCAAGCTTGTTGTTTCGGAGGTATCGATTTGGAACATTCATCTGAAGCCCTACAACAAACGGTGATGAAAAGTCGGGACAAGGGAAACACATACGCATACCTGTGTTGTCAGATGGGAGGACGACTTCTATCTGATCATTTGTCAACACCTGTAGGGCTCCCGAAATCCTCTTAAGAGTCTCGCTTCTACAGTCCTCATTGCACAGCGGTATATCTGGTTCTCGTATCATTTCGACATAATTGGGAAAATCTGGTGGTTATTAGATAACTGGTCATTACGCAGCGGTCATTATCTAACCACGAGGCTGGGGTAGCAGTGGACACCTCATACTGACCAGCTATTGTCTGGCCACAACGCTGACTGTTTAGGGTTGAAATGCGACCACGAGAAGGTAACGCTCCCTTTCACGCTTTGGTAAACACCTTACGCTTTTCTTGCTTGTCAACATAAGTGAGAGCTTCATTACTCTGTTATGTGACGCCATGCCTTCTATGGGAGATACGTGGTTTCGTAATCTTCACTTCACTTTCACTCAACTGTTTCAAATTGCTGGTCGCTTTTTGTCCCTGGTATTGAGTCGACAGTGGGAAAACCCGCCTCTTCCCCGCTGACCGTGGGGAGACAGACAGTACATCTCACCCGGGGGCACTAATCATGGAACGCTACTCTCACACCTGTAATTACATATATGCTACCTGTAGAGACTTACATGTGCCGTTATTGGAAACCAACAGGCTGTAAAAACAGCTACCTTTCCAATCCTTTCCCAGATTCTAAGTATATCTTACACCCAATTATATTCATGCAGAACTTGACAACTGCTTAGCTTAAACTAGACCTAACATAAAATACATGACACTGGTGTATCATAACACAGTGGTCCTACTTATACTGGCGACATCATATGAACATATTTTATGAGGTATTTTTATGGATTTGAAAATGAGGATGACATGGTGTTTTTTGTTTTACTTTAGGTCGTATTCTGGTGGACATACCTTGTAAGGTCTGTCAAGATCACTCGTCAGGAAAACACTACGGAATCTATGCTTGTGATGGGTAAGGATGCAATACTATCTTATTTTTTTGTTAAAAAGTTCTTGAATGGATACCTGTTTTTGTATTATTAAACAAGATTTTTATTTATTTATTTATTTATTTATTTATTTATTTATTTATTTATCTTTACTTGTTTATTTTTATTTGTGTGTTTATTTATTTTTCACTTATATATTAATAATATGTACTTTATATCCCACTAATGACAAAATTATTTGATTGCAATACAGATAGTACAGGGTTTGATCATCAAATGATTCCTCTATCAAAACACCTATCAGTGGATGGGTATATTTCGTGTCATCAAACAACTGGTCACAATATAGGATACTCTGTTAATCCAATACACTGTCCGCCCAATAACCCTTCATTGCAGCAGTAGTAATGACGCTGTATATCTACCTAACGGTTCCATATGTTGTACTCAGTTTCATTATTTGTACAAACTGCAATATTGGCTATATTGGCTGGCTTCCACGTAAACTACCATTGCAGTCATGCCTTGTACCAGCTTGCATAGGTCTCAGTGTTTAGCTGTATTGTATTGGCACAGTCTGGTTAATATACCTGTACAGGTCTTCGATATTGTTCGCGAGCTGACATTGTCTGTTGATCTCCGCTCTTAATTATTGCTCTATCAGAGGGATGACTACAGGATTCGATTAAGTTTCAAATACCAGGATAAATCATAGCTGTCTGAGTTTATTTTCACCCATTTGTTTCATTTGAAACGGAATACAGAGCACATATTTAAAATCATTTTCAAATTTTGATTTATGGAAAATAATTTTGTTCTCATTAACAAATCGGCTTTGTTGATATTGAAATTCTATCCCTTTCCTCACTTGTGATTATCTTTCAACGTATTTACTTTGGACCGACATTGACATAAATCATGACCTTGTTGTTTGTGTTAATGGTATTATCTTTCAAGTTTAATCATTGGTACAATTTACAATTGAAAACTAGACGATCTACAGATCATAATGAAATATCACAACAACGTCTCCTGTCAAAATGAAGGTTATGAACAGGTTCTGCACCTGACGTGCTTGACAAGCACCTGTCATGCATTATTCTATGTAACTCAATGTTTCGACAAATCATCAATCTATATGCAATCACTAGTGTAGAAGTTTGGAAATAGGTTTAAAAACAAATCGTTTTTATAGTATTAACTGAATATTTATCTGAAAAATACACTTTCCGTCATATACATGTTCTAATATATTAGCATTCTTCATTCCGCTTAGAATATATTATTTGTCATAATTAAGTTAAGATTATTATTGAAAGACAAAAATGTATGTTTACTTCGTATTACACTACCAGACACACTGATGTTAATAAATGTTCCCTAGAAACGAAACGACTGGATACATTATGCAATGATAATTCCCATATATTGCTGCTCAACTATTTCTTTCCACTTAAACGTTTTGACGGTTAATTACCACTGAGCATCGTCATCTGTTCGACGATTTCATTTATTATTATTATTATTATTATTATTATTATTATTATTATTATTATTAACACAACAGCCCTATCATCAACTTTTGATAAAGGCCCCAGTTTCCAGGCATCACTTAACAAAGTTTCTAAATATACCATATTTTATCATGTCCTTTACAGGCAAACCTCACTAATGTTTTTATAATCTTCCTTTCCAGCTGTGCCGGGTTCTTTAAGGTGAGTTTTAAATGTCTTAGTTACTTAGTCCGCCCTTTTAACATACATACTTGTCCGCCTTTGAATCAAAGTTAAAAGAGACGCAACTTTTCTCCAGGTAAAGTAACGCGTACTGTTTCCGCCTGCATCCCGCAAAGACAATCAATTCCCATCTTCCGCCCCTCCCCCATTCGTCACCCCCATTCCGCCACCCCAACCATGATGACAGTCATATGAGGGGGGTATTTGTTGAGGGGCACATCGCACGGTCCGCAAGCTGAAGTCGTCCCCTAGTGCAGTGTGTCCTTTGACTTCAGCTTCAGTGTTGGCAACCTGTCTATCCGGATCAAGTATTAACCCCCGTGTTTACTAGAACAAAAGTCTTCCGATTAGAAAGTTTAACATTTTCTTACCCAAACCCACCCGTAGCGGCTCGGCACGCTGACATCAAAGGACCAGGTTTACGTCCTCGTAGCTACCGATGTTTCGAACAATATTTAGTTTATACGACAGTCCCCTATAGGGCTGGCACGGGATTTCCTGATATCCCTGGCTCGCAAAATTAAACCAAAAGGTAAAAACTTAACGCAAACCTTGTAAAAATCTGTCGATAAAGCGTAGAAGTGGAGGGCTTGAATGTCAATAGCACAACTACGGTGGGGCACGTTGGATTGCGGAGGACGGGGGACACTACATAGCATGGATTGCCAATACTGAGATAAAGTGAGAGCCGCAAAAGTCAGGTTTGCTTATGGCTTTTGATTCTGTTGAAGTTACAGAAACAAACCAACGGCAAAAACTCGCAACATTTCTGAAACAGCTCTCACAGCTCTTCTCAGGAAGATTACGATGATTTGCAAACTCGAGTATTTGCCTAAAGCCCCTAAGATCAAAACTTGTCAAAGATTTGTTGATCAAAAGCTTTAGAAGTTGTGACTTTAGCGATTGCTTTGGAATGATTGATTTGACCACACGGCACGAGATCACGGCGTGACCCTGCGAGATCTCACTTCACAGAGCTGAGTTGCGTCATAGAAGGGTGGACAGACTCAAGTAAACTCAAACATTCGGGTTCTCGCGGTTCACCCCTTCCGACCTCAGTATCCAAATAAAAAATGCGTGTTCGAGTTTCGCGCGTTGTCCTTCGTCTCGTGTAGAACGTGATTTCCTACATCCGGGTGATGAAAAGGAAACGTACAATTTGCAAACCATTTTCCAACTATTTCATTCACAAATAACCACATTCCAATTTTATTAGACCGGAAATGAAACAAAACATATTACTCACTCACTCTTCAGTTATGCATCCTTAACGACGTCTATTTTCTTGACGTCAAGACAATGACACCAGTTAGTTTTACATGCATTCTTGGCTATATCAGTGTCGTTTATACCTACTTTCTGTGACGTTTCTTCTGAAATGATTAGTTTCTTAAAAGCAAGATACATTCTATGCTCAGGGAGAGAAGGGATTTAGATGGTGACGTCACTTCCGAAAGCTATCGTTGGAAATGGGTCCACGGTATGTCAGCAACCCATGCTTGTCATAGGAGACGACTAACGGGATCGGGTGGTCAGGCTCGCTGACTTGGTTGATGCATGTCATCGTATCCGAATTGCGTGGATCGATGCTCACTCTATCAATCACTGGGTTGTCTGGTCAAGACTCGATTATTTACAAACAGCCGTCATATAGCTTTGATAGTTCTGAGTGCGGCGGAAAAAAACCTTGTATCCTGTAGAGATAATATAGGAAGATATAATACCCTGGGTAGTCGATGGTGGACAAAGAAATTATCTAACAAGATGGAAGACAATCCATGAATCATTGTAAACAGTAACGATAATGACACACAGGGCCAAATTACATGTTTACTTCTATTTAATGAATGGCACCTGTGAAGATTCGGGTTAGAATAGGTCTTCAACAACCCATGCTTACCGTAAAAGGCGACTATGCTTGTCGTAAGAGGCGACTAACGGGATCGGATGGTCAGGCTCGCTGACTTGGTTGATGCATGTCATCGTATCCCAATTGCGTAGATCGATGATCATGATGTCAATCACTGGATTATCTGGTCCAGACTCGATTATTTACAGACCGCCGTCTTATGTAGCTGCGATATTGCTGATTTCGGCGTTAAACAACAAACAAACAAACAAATCAATAAATGGGCAACTACATTCTAAAATATCATGGTATTAATCTGTTAATTAGTCTTTTAAGATGAATTGACACGGTGCGATTTGTTGGTACAAGAAATTGTATACGATAAGTTGTACTGTGTGAATGCACCTTAACTCCGTTTTAGCAATATCCAAGCAATACCATGGCAGGGGACGCTCGGGGTACACATTGTACCTATGTTGTATTCCAAGCCAGACGTGGGAATTACGCTTTAAGCACCACGCTACTACTAACCTCCTTAACACTTGTAGATATCCCATGTCAGTAGGACGTTGTATGTAACCGTTTCACTGGTGTTTTATATCAAAGAGCGAGGGTTGTGTCCGGCTCACAGCGGGTGATCAATACCTTGACTGACATTATCTACCTGTTACGCCGGCGTCATAGTTTCCACTGATAACGACGTCTACAGCTCCACCTACTCAGACCAGTCAGATACATTTAGGGTACCTAAGCTGGCTTGTTAATATCACAGTCTGAACGTGGAAGTATATAATTCCACGCGTGGTGGAAGGTGAAGATATTTTATTAAAAAAGAAACTTTTCTCATTCACGAGATAAAATAAACATTGGACAACAAATACCATGAATTAACGAAGTAGTCTCTGTCATGATCATTTTGTGGAACGCAGTTGTAT